GGGCCCTCGGCGCACTTACTCCCTGGTAGATGTCCACGTCCACCGTGTGGTTGTTCCTGGGGAAGATCTTGGCGTAGTCGCGGAGGCTGCTGTTGGCACAGACGCTGAACTGTGGGCCGGGCAGTAGGAGGGAGACGGGAAGTGCACACTCAGTCTCCGAGGCTCCGACCCCCAGGCCTCAACCAGGGGCTGAGAACTGGTGGCCCACGGGCTGAGTCTGGCCAGACATGTTTTGTTTGGCTAACAAGTTGTTTTTTCTTTCATGTGAATTTACTGCCAACATTTAAAAGTGAGAACTCGCCCTAACCGGTTTGGCTCAGTGGATAGAGCGTCGGGCCTGCAAACTGAAAGGTCCCGGGTTCGATTCCGGTCAAGGGCATGTACCTTGGTTGCGGGCACATCCCCAGTAGGGAGTGTGCAGGAGGCAGCTGATCGATGTTTCTCTCTCATCGATGTTTCTCTCTCATCGATGTTTCTAGCTCTCTATCCCTCTACCTTCCTCTCTGTAGAAAATCAATAAAATATATATTTTTTTAAAAAAGTGAGAACTCACACGAGAACCGGGTTCCCAGGGGTCTGTGGGGCCTGTAAGAGCTGGCATTACCACAGAGGCAATGGGCTGGCAGTGCCTCGGCTGCCCCCCAGGCCTCTCCTCCTCACACTGAGCCCCGCTCCCCCAGCTCTGTGACTGGCCAGGTCTGGAAGGCAAGGGTTTGCCATCCCTATTTAGACCTCTCTCCTTGTGTGGAGGAGCAGCATGAGGCCAGGGAGGGGTGTAACTGCGGGAGGTCACAGAGCCAGGCAGTGGCAGTGACCATGTGGTCAGCATTCAGTAAGCACCCAACACTGACCAGCTGTCATTAGGGCCTCGTGACAGACCCACAGGTCACAAACCCAGGAGGTCACAAATCCAAGAGAGTCGGCTAGAATGTCACCTCCTCCGAGTCCTCTCCTGACCTCCCTCCACCACATCCCCAATGATGTTCCATTGCTTCCTTTATTTCCTTCACAACGTTGTCCATACTCTTCCCTTCTGTATTGATTTGTTGATTTGTTTCCTGCCTGCTCACTCTCCACCCCCCAAATCTAAGCTGCACGAGGGCAGGATCTTCATATCATTGACTCCCGTGTCCCCAGGACCCAGGGCACTGCCTGACACATCACAACTGCTTGGTAAATATTTGCTGAACGGATGACCGTGTATATGCTAACAAAGATTATGAGGAGAGAGGACTCGGAGGAGAACATGAGGCTGTGCATTCCCGCTCCACACTCATGCTCTGACATCCTCTCCTCCCAGAACCCCGTCCCTGCAGTTTGCTGGGCAAATCCTGCCCAGCTTTCCAGGTGCAGCTGGAATGCTGGGTCTCCCAAGACTTAGCTCCTCCCTCCCAGGCACTTCCCTTGGATGTCTGTGCCTTACAGCCCCTTTGTGTGGCTCTGACCCTCAAGAGTCTGCCTGTCCCGGCTGGCATGGCTCAGTGGTTGAGCATCAACCTATGAACCTGTAGATCACGGTTCAATTCCTGGTCAGGGCACATGCCCGGGTTGTAAAATCAATCTCCAGTTTGGGGTGTGCAGGAGGCAGCCGATCAATGGTTCTCATCATTGATGTTTCTATCTCTTTCTCCCTCTCCCTTCCTCTCTGAATTCAGTAAAAATATATTAAAAAAAAAAAAAAAAGAGTCTGGCCCTAGCCGGTTTAGCTCAGTGGATAGAGCGTCGGCCTACTGACCGAAGGGTACCGGGTTTGGTTCCAGTCAAGGGCACGTACCTCGGTTGCAGGCTCCTCCCCGGCGAATGCAGGAGGCAACCAATCAATGTGTTTCTCTCACATCCATATTTCTCTCTGTCTTTCCCTCTTTCTTCCACTCTCTCTAAGGATCAATGGAAAAATATCCTTGGGTGAGGATTTTTTTTTAAGTCTGCCTGTTGGGGGCTGTGTCTCCCCAGTGGGTTGGGGATGGGAGTCCCAGTCACAGACTCCCTCTGCTACCAAAGCCTGGAGTCTACAGCAGAGACTCAAAAGGCTTAGCTCATGGCCTGGGGCCCCCAGCAATGCTGAGGATGGGGAGGTGTGGTGGATGGGGAGCTGTGGTGGATGGGAGCTGTGGTGGATGGGGAGGTGTGGTGGATGGGAGGTGTGGTGGATGGGAGGTGTGGTGGATGGGGAGGTGTGGTGCGTCTCACCGCGTCCTGGTTGGTCTGCTGGTAGAAGGCCTGCCCAAAGACGGCCACAACAAAGAGGTTGATGAAGAATGAGACAGACAGGGCGATGGTGGCCTCAATCAGGAAGTACATGTTGGCTTCTCGGATGTCAGCCCGTCGGGTCCGGTCTATCTCTCGAGACTATAAAGGTCAAAGGGGAGGGAATAGCCAAAGTCTCTCAGGGCCACCCCAACACCTTCCACTCGCACACCTCTATGTCTTCCCAAACCCCAGTTCTCTCTAAAGCCCCCCCCCCCATGGAAGTCTAGGACAGGCCCTGGTCAGCGACCCCCTTCCTGCATGCCCGGTTTATTTCTCCTGCGGCCTTTGCCCTCACCATTCATTCCCTCTGCTTAGAATATCTTCTCCCCTGATCTTCCTTCCCATCCTTCATGTCTCAAAGGCCACTCCTTACAAAGGCCTTTCCCGACCACCTTTCCTAAAGTAGCCCCCGTCTCAGTCATTCTCTGTCACACTTCTCTGTTTTGTTTCCTTTAGGGCACCTTGCACAATCTAGTATTCTCTCTGTCATTTGTTTACTTGCTCATGGTCTGTCTCTCCCTCTAGAATGCAAGCGCCAGGAAGGCAGATGACTTGTCTATCTTGTCATCGACCTCAGGAGCCAAAGGGGAGGGGCTCCAGGCTTGGAGAATGGGCCAGTGTGACGCCAAGGGACCAGGCACCGCTCCCTCCCTGCCCCTGTGCTCACCTTGACCAGGGCTGAGTGCAGGTAGATGTTGTGGGGCATGATGATGGCGCCAACGATGCCCACAGCCTGCAGCAGCTCTGGCTGGCCGCAGCCGGGGCACGAGGGCAGGAGCAGGCCTCGGAGAAGCGGTCCCTGAGCAGGACGTGCCACCACGTACTGTGGGGAGGAGCCTGGTCAGGACAAACCTTGCCCCTGCAAAGCCATTCGCACCCTCCACCCTGACCCTGGCCCCTCAGGCTCTGCAGGGGGCAGAGAGAGGGGTGGCCTTCCTGGGGGTGTTGCAGCCCTGGCTTCCCACCTCATAGCCAAAGGTCAAGGCCATGATGGTAATAAGGAATCCAAAAAAGGCTTCCAGCTTCCGCAACCCTAGGGAGAGAGCAAAGGGGCAGAACATTCAAAACAAATAACCATAACATAAGTGATTATTAATGGTGAGATCTTGAGCACTTTGTTCCAGGCACTGTGCCAAGTGCTTAACATATGTTGCCTCAGTGAATCCTCACCACAGCCCTGTGACGTCTGTGCTGTTATTTTCCCCATGTTCCAGACGAAGAAACAGAAGTCTGGGTAACTTGCTCAAGGCCACACCAAGTGAGAAGCTGAGCCCTACCCCAGAACCGCAGAGCATCCGCTGGCCTTACATTCACACGCCCAGCCCGCAGCCCCCTCTGAGAGGAAGGGCACACCCACCGTAGTTATCCAGGAAGAGAAAGAAGAAAGTGTCCACGATGGTGATGAGGACGCCACCCCAGAGAGGGATTCTGCAAACAGAGTGGCCTGGGTCAGCCCAGCCTGGTCCCAGGGTCCCAAACTCCCACTCTCAGGGCTGGAGATTGAAGTCTGATCTCCTGGGAGCAGGGACCCAAGTGGCCCCAGACGACTGCAGGAGAGGGGAGTGGGAGTGTGCTGGAGATGGCAAATGGCACAGAACGGAGAGGAAGGGCCAAATCGGTGGGGGTCCAGTATGGCAGGCAACCCGGAAGCCTGCAAGGTCACTGACATTGTGTGACTCTAGATACAACCACTTTGCATTTCTGGGTCTCTGTTTCCCCACTTGTCCAATTGAGCAACAACTCTGGGTCAAAGGGGACTGCAAGAGGAAATGGACACAGGGAAGTAAAAGGCCTGAGGAAGAAGTAGCAGCTGATCCCAGCTCTGGACTGAAGAGCCGGAGCCCGTGGGGCAGTACCGTCCAGCCGAGAGCAGACTGAATGCGATAGCTGTGCCGATGACCTCTTGCATGTCCGAGCCCACGATGGCTAGCTCGATGGTCAGCCAGAGGAGGGTGCGGGGCACCTAGGGAGAAGGTAACCTTCCTTAAGGCTGGACAGTTGTTTGTCTCAGTCCTACGTGCACCTTTCAATACTCAGCACTGCCCTGCTGGGCTAGAAGCCTACTAACTGCATTTGCAAGACGGCCTTGTCAGCTGGCTTCCAGTTGGGTTTGGCAGGAAACACTAATGGGAGATGAAAAGGCAGGGAGAAATCGTTCCCCCTGCTTCTGGTGGCGTTTCTGGCAGCAAAAGCACCTGGCAACCTAGGCGCCAGCAGCACTGGTGGCCGTTTCGGCAGAAGTGGCAATGCTCCCAGGTGCTCGGCAGCAAATGATGGCTCTTGGGCTCCTGCCCAGCAGCTTTCTGACCTCTGGGTGACACCCTCCTTCCACTGCTTTTCCCAGCTCTTCCAACACCTCTGTGGCGACATCCCTGCATTAAATATCTTTGCGATGTGTAATGTTGAAATTTTTTTTCCTGTCTGGACACTGACAACAGCCAAGCCCCCAGTGTCCTTCTCAGCCAATGACCAAGCTGATGCCTACCTATTTTTTTGCCTTAAGCAAGTCACTTCTCGAAGTTTCCATTTCTCCTTCTATAAAATGGACAGGGTCTATCCAAAGTCCCTTTCAGTCTATGTGCTGTTAGTGTGAGCCTCTGTTCTATCAAGTGGACTTGTGACACCCCCACTTGAGAGTATGTATTTGATCATGGAACCTGTAAGTGGCTGTTTCGGGCTTAGGACCTGTGGGTGTTTCCTGTCCAGGCCCACCAAGCTCACCTTAGGGTAGTAGAGATGGCAGATCTCACCCAAGTCCTTGCCTGTCACCACGCCCAGCCGGGCAGCAAGTCGCTGGCAGAGCAAGCCCAACACCGTGGCCCACAGCAGCACCCACAGCAGCTGCGAGAAGGCAGGGAGAGGCGTTCAGCCAGAGGGGCGAATAAGCTAACCCCAGAATTGGTGGCACCCTCTAACCAAGGACACTCCTTGGGGACAGAGTAGGGGAGATAGAGAAAGAAGACCAACCTCCTCCCTCCCTCCCCATATATCCCACATTCTGGGGACCTTTTCCGGCCCATTAGAACCTAGCATCTCCCATGAACAGCAGCCATGCAGGCCACTCTGGGGAAAAGGGGCAAGCTGGGGTCTCCACTTTCTTAACCGGGTCACCCCCCCTCCCCACAGTGCCCCAACTCCATCACTTTGAATCCAGCCACAGCACCAGCCTGCAGGTCCGACTCGATGTTTCCTGGGTCCAGGAAAGCGATGCTCATGAGGAAGCCAGGCCCCGTGAAGGCCCACAGCTTCCTCAGGCTGAACGTGCCCTGTGGGTGGAAATGGGGTGAGGATGTCCTACAATAACTGGCCTTGGCCCACCACCAGCTGAATTCCAAGGGGCTCATCAGCCCAGGCTGGCCAGCCCGGCCCTCTATTCCCCATTCCTGGAGCTGCATCCCCCAGGGGTTAGTGGAGGACATGGGGTGGGAGGAACCAGCAGGATTTGCTAAGTAACAGCCCATCGGCCGCTATGGATCCAGCACATTCAGCAGCCTGCCTGCACCTGACCAGCTTACCTCCTGCAGACCCTGACTCTGCAGATCCTAGAGCCCCAATAGGGGATTTTCCTGGGGTCAGGCCTCCCTGGTCCAGTTCCTCCCTCCCCAGCCCTTTGTCAGACCATAGGTCTTCCTCTCTAGAACCCACTGAGCCAAGGGCCCCCCACCCCAAGCCAAGGGCCCCCCACCCCATTCCAGGGCTTGGTCTGGCAGCCTGGGCTCTGCTAAAGATTCTGGAAATGCAGGTGACAGCATCTAGAAGCCAGCCCACAACCTCCTTTGCTCCTCCCGATACCCTTGTCTAGGTCCCTTCCTTTAGCAACCAATCCTCGAGGCTCCAACCTGAATTCACTCCAAGCCCCTTTGCCTTCATAGGAAAGCTAGGATTCATCCAGAAAGCCATTGATGATTTTTAGATAAATGGTAAGCTAAGTGATGGAGACAGAAGCAGGAAGGGGGCAGTTACACTGTCTATCACCGCAGCTCAGAGCTGGAAGGGACTTGCCATGGTCTTCAGGGGACTCCCTCACCCAGCCCGTGACCCCCCCCCCCCATATTGTCCTGTCAATCCTGAAAGAGCCCAGGAAGTTTCCAGTATTCCCACCGGTTTCGTGTCCGGGATGGAGATCTTCTCACTCAGGTAGGTCTCTCCGGGAGGTGCTTGCTGTGGCCCTGCACTGGGTGGGCTGGAGATGGAGCCATAGCTGGGACTGCTTAGCCTTTGGGGAACCCTGTCACCTGCAAAGGGCCCCATGGGGCATGGTGAGTGACCTGCTTCTTTCGGTGGCCCAGGGCTAAAGCCATGTGTCCTCCCTTGCCTCCTCCTGGCAAAGTGCAGAATCAAAGCCCAGCTGAATAGGGGCCCTTGACTTCCATGTAGGGTCCATGACCTTCACCCCTTGACCAAATGTTCCGTAAAATGTCAGAAGTGGAGCCTTCAGCATTACTCTCCTTCCAAGTGAGTGCAAAGACCCCCAAATCCAGATCTCTCTTGCCACAGAGGATGTGGAGAGGGACACGGAGCTCGGAGGAGGGCTGACTGACACTAACACTGGCACGTGTGCCCCTTGGCCTCACCCCTGCCCCCTCCAGCAGCTGAAGAAGTTCCAGGGGCTCCAAGTACACAGAGATCAGACAAAGGGGATGCAAAGAACACAACCCCAGGCTCGTGTCCGGAATTATGGCCCAGACCAGGACTCCCATGGGACCAGGGCTTCCTTTGCCTCCCTGACTCTCCCCACCCCATCCCTGGAGGGGGATACTCACTTGTCATGAGGACGACAGGTCAGGCACTGTCTGCGTGTGAGTGGCGTGCTGGCCAGCTCCTCAGCCACGGGCTCTCTCTGAGTGCCAGTACATGTCAGTGTGTGAGTCCACACCCTCTTGCCCATCCGTCGTGAGCCCGGCTGTCCTCACACACATGGGGCATTGTGAAACACTTTCCAAGGCAGAAGTGGCCAGTTTGGCGGAAAGGTCTGCTTGGACTTCTGTTCCCCTTCCGGCCTGAGCCCCACAATATCTGTGGCTCCCTTCCAGGCACCCCATGTTCTGCGTCACCCAAATTAGCTCTGATTTCAAGATATTTTCTGCCACTTGGGCATTCACGTCCATATCACTTGACTTCTCCCCACCCACCTCCTACATAAGCAGTCCAGCTCTTCTCCTGGAGTCCCTTGACCACTGGTTGGGCTAATGGGAGGGAGGGAGTCCTGATGGCTACCTGGGCTTCATTTCCCATTGAGTGCCTCAGAGGAAAACACTTTCCGGACACTGCCTCAGGGACATGCATTCAGTACTCTGGCCAAGGAGATCCTCATAAGACAGGGGCACTGGGTCCTGGTCCTGGTTCTGCCACTAGTTCACTTGAGATTGTCAGCAGAGCATGTCTTCTCTCTGAGCTTGTTTCTTCTATCAAATAAAGGATTCAAACTACCCAAGAGGTTAAAATTTAGATGCCCATGGAGGCCAGGCATTTGTCATTTAACACTGAGCTGGGGAACCCTGTCATTTAACACAGCACCAGCTCAGTGTTAAATGACAAATGATGCTGCGCCTCTGTGTGAGGAGACAGTAGGGAACAGTGGTGACTGTAGCAAAACAGAGGTCAGATACTCTGTCTGAGGAGGGCAGTGCCTTTGGAGTTCCAGCCAATTGCCATGTGGGCAGATTGTCACAGTGCCTTCTGATTTGTCAAGGATGCTAGGAATTTTATGCAAAATAGGCTTTTTGAATACTAGACCCCAAAACATTGAAAATATTGTATAATCTAAACAAAACATTCCTACGGGCTGGGTCTACTTGAGAAGTATTATCCTGTAACCTCTGGATAAACGGTGGGCAAGACTCCTCCAGCTCCCAGTCTCTTCCCTTTGGCAGCTTCTGTGCTCCCCACTTCCCTCCCTCAAGTTCTTCTCCCTCCCATACCCCTCATGCCTTCTATCTTGTGGCCTTCTTTTTCTGTCAAGAAGATTCAAAACTGGAATTGTTATGGAGTATCCAACTCCAAAGTCTGAGATCTCAAGACCTAGAGAGAGCCCAGTCAGGTTCTCAGGGCCAGACTTGATCTGGGACGTGATGTATGCCGATGTTGAATCAAAAACTTTACCAAAGCTCGGAAACCCAGGGTCAGGGGAGGCAGTCAATACCCTGACTCCTAGTTGATGGAGGAGGCTGGAGGGACTGGAAAGTGGGGGAGTGGGTGAATGATGAGTCAGACAGGAGAGAGCAGCATCATGGTTTGTGCAACCCTATTGCTCAAGCTCCCATCACCGTCCCTGACCACTAGGTTTGTGCACATTTCCCAATCACTGCCTTGGGCTCATGCGGGCATGGCTGGTGTAGTATGTTGTGAGGGTTAATTTTATGTGCCAACTTGATTGGACCAGGATGTGACTGATATGTGGGTGTGCTGGTGAGGGTGTTTTTGGAGGAGATCAACTTTGAACTGGTAGATTGAGTGAAGTAGATTCCCATTGCTGTTGTGGATGGGCCTCATCCGGACAAATGAAGACCTAAATAGAACAATAGGCTGAGTAAGGGAGAACTCTCTCTCTCTCTCTGCCTGACTGCCTGTGAACTAGGATTGTTTTTTCCTGCCTTCAGACTTAGCTTCGACTGGAACTTACACCGTGGAACTTACCCTTCCTACTTCTCAGGCCTTCAGACTGGAATTATGTATGCCATTGGCTCTCCTGGGTCTCTAACTTGCACAGATCAGTGGGCTTCTCAACCTCCATACTCATGTGAGCCAATTCCCTATGTATACTAGTCTGTCTATCTATCTTTCTTTCTTTCTTTCTTTCTTTCTTTCTTTCTTTCTTTCTTTCTTTCTTTCTATCTATCTATCATCTATCTATCTATCATCTATCTATCATCTATCTATCTACCTATCTATCTATCTATCATTTCTATCTCTCTATCTATTGGTTCTGTTTCTCTGAAGAACCATGACTAAGACAGATGTCTTCTTTGTATCTTTTGTGGGGCCTTACTTATAGTTAGGAACTCAATAACTATAATTGATTAACAACTGATCAATACTCCGTGCAACCTTTAACTTAACCATTATAGTGTGATGGTTAAGAGCAGAGGTTCTGACAGAGTAGCAGAGAGCGGGAGCTATGTGAGCTAGAGGATTAGAAACCTGCATATCAGTCCCCTTGCACCTGGAGCTGTTGCTGGATACTGAACCCTGCCTGTGTGCAGTGAAATTTCATGAAACCCAGTTCACTCAAAGTGAAGCACAAACCGAAATGTAAATATAAAACTTTTAGAAAAAATAAGCAGGAGAAAATCTTTAGAATCCAAGACTAAACAAAGACTTGTTAGACTTGACACCAAAAAGCATGATCCATAAAAGGGAGAAACTGATCAATTGGATCTCATAAAACTTAAAAACTTTTGTTCTGTGAAGGACTTTGTAAAAAGATAAAAAGACAAGCTAAAGACTCAGAGAAAATATTTGCAAACCACATATCTGACAAAGGACCAGTATCTAGAGATAAAAAAATCTCTTAAAACTCAACAGTGAAAAAATAAGACAATCCTATATAATAAAGAGTGATATGCAAATTGACCATCACTCCAACACACAAGATGGCCACCCCCATGTGGACACAAGATGGCCAGCAGGGGGGGACAAGGTCTGCAGGGGAGGGCAGTTGGGGGTGACCAGGCCAGCAGGGGAGGGTAGTTGGGGGTGACCAGGCCTGCAGGGGAGAGAAGTTGGGGGTGACTAGGTCAGCAGGGGAGGACAGTTAGGGGCAATTGGGCCAGCAGGGGAGAGCAGCTAGGGGTAACCAGGCTGACAAGGAGGGAAGTTAGGGGTGACCGGGCCAGCAGGGGAGGAGTTAGGCATCGATCAGTCTGGCAGGGGAGCAGTTAGGGGTGATCAGGCAGGCAGGCAGGTGAGCAGTTGGGAGCCAGTAGTCCTGGATTGTGAAAGGGATGTCCTACTGCCCATTTAGGCCCGATCCCGGTGGGGGCTCCCAGATTGGAGAGGGTGCAGGCTGGGCTGAGGGACACCCCCCCCCGCACACACACACACAAATTTCATGCACTGGGCCTCTAGTTTCAATTATAAATGGGCAAAAATCATGAACAGGCATTTTACCAAACAGGATGTACAGATGGCAAGGAATCCCTGAAAAGATGTTTAGCATCCCTAGCCATTAAGGAGGTGCAAAGAGAACCATAATGAGATATCACTACACCCCTATCAGGATGCCTAAAATAAAAAACAGTCATAGCACCAAACGTTGGCAATGATGTGGAGAAACCAGACCACTCATAAGTTATGGGTGGGAATGCCAAAAGCACTCCTGGCACTTCAGAAGTACTCAAGATTTCTTTTCCCTTTGCTCAGAGAAGCATGTTTCTCAGTGTTATGGAGCAAGAAGAGAGGGGTCATAGACGTTCCAGGAACAAGTGATACCATCTAAAAACAACCCAGTTTTGAAATGGATGTCACAGACCAGGCAGGAAGGTGGCTGGACTCCTTCCCAAGTCATCTGACACGTGACAGCAAGGCTCTCTGTGGTCGGATGTTCCCGCCCAACCCTCTTCCCCACTGTTGCAGATTATTGGGGTTGGAGGGGGTTATTGTATCTCTGCCGAAATATTCTGGGTGCACTAGGCTGAGTCAGCCTCGGTTTCAGTTCTCCATAGAGAACTGGCCAGGGCCCTGCCTTCCTCAGGGTGACTCATCCCCAGCCCCTCCCACCCTGTTGGGCTCCAGCCTTCTGTTCCCAACATGCCATGCTCAGACCCTTTGCACTTGCTGTTCCCTCTGCCTAGAATGCTTTTCCTGCAGCTCTTCACAGGTCTGACTTCTTGTCATTCAGGTCCCAGCTCAACTGAGACCCCAGAAGCCCATGAAGTCCACCTCTGCAACCCTGAGTCACTGTACTCACAACTTGGTTTTATCTGTTTTCATAAATGTCTGAAATTTCACATCTGAAATGATCCTTTGTGTTTATTGTCCATCTCTCCATGTTACCTGAGGACAGGGACTCTGTCTTGTCACTGCTGATCTCCCAGCGCCACAAATAATCCTGGCACTTGGAAGGGGTCCAATAGTTGTTCAACTACTTGCCTGATTGAATGAAAGGAGCTTACTCTCTAGAGCAGTGGTTCTCAACCTTCCTAATGTCGCGACCGTTTAATACAGTTCCTCATGTTGTGGTGACTCCCAACCATAAAATTATTTTTGTTGCTACTTCATAACTGTAATTTCGCTACTGTTATGAATCGTAATGTAAATATCTGATATGCTATATGTGTTTTCTGATGGTCGCGACCCACAGGTTGAGAACCACTGCTCTAGAGCTATCTAATATGGCAGCCACTAGCCACGTGTGGCTATTTAAATTGAAATGAATTTAAATTAAAGTAAAACCCCAGTTCCTAGTCATATTTACCACGTTTCTAGTTGTCAGTGGCCACATGTGATTAGTGGCTACCACACTGGACGCTGCAGGTACAGAGCATTCCTATCATTGCAGAAAGCGTTGTTGGGTGTCCTGCTCTAGATCATGCACATACATTGCACTTTCTTACTTCTGCTTATGTCATTTTCTCTGCCTGGAAGGCTTTATCGGACCCTTAATAAAAATGCTACACATGTAGAATTTGGCAACTTGTTCAAGCAAACAAACAAAAGCCTTAATATCAATGCAACAATTACACTCCTCAGAATGTATCCTTAAGAAAATAATTGTTGATATATGCAAAGATTTAGCTACAAGGATATTCAATGCAGCAGGGTTTATGATAGTAAAAAATAAAAAGGTGGGGCAGGGGAGAGATTGGTTACCTTATGGTAGAATCATCAAAAAATGTATACACACTTTGAATAATTATTAATTCCAATGGGTTAAGTCTGCAAAGAAAGAAACATCAATTGAGCTATCAGCTGTTAAAGTGTGTATACATTTGTGGGGATACCCTGTAGAAGACTGTAGTGACAGGGAAATATTTTCAAAATATATTGCTAAATGAAAGAACCCATTAAAACACATGAAAAAAGTTTCAAAACACAAGGAGATTGGGGTGGGAATCTAGGGAGATTCCAGCTTTATCTGCATGAAACTTTCCAAGAATACAATTAAGTATGCAATTACCAGTTACGGAGAATCAATTACTGTATGATTTCACTTTTTGTTAAATGAAGTCCCTGAGAACTGTGAAGACCAGATCAAACATTCTATGTAAAAGTGTTTGACAGAGTAATTGCTGAACAAACACCACATTTTGCTAGAAAAAAAGAGTAGAGAGAATATTTGCCAAAACGTGAAGAGTGGCTGCTTCTAGGTAGAAGAATTGAAGTGAATTCACTTCTTCTCTTGGTTTATCACCTTTTTCTAAGGTTTTTCTAATGAACATAGGGAAAGGGGACAATAAAATATATTATTAAAAATTCTTTAAGTTGCCCAGTCAGCATGGCTCAGTGTTGAGGTTAACCTATGAACCAGGAGGTGAGTGTTCGATTCCCAGTTAGCACAAGCCCAGGCTGCAGGCTCAATCCCCAGTGGGGGACGTGCAGGAGGCAGCTGATCAACGATTCTCTCTCATCAGGATGTTTCTCTCTCTTCCTCTCTGAAATCAATAAAAATATATTTTTAAAAATTCTTTCAGACTCAAGTGACAGTTCTCCATGAAGCCTTCCTTCCCTGATTCCTGGGCCATGAACTAGCCCCCACTCCCAGCCTTGGAGATATTGGCTGGTATTGCTTACCGGAATGTAGAACTTCTCTGAGTCCCTCCTCTCGCAGCAGGAAGTTGGATGAATGAACTGACCGAGGGCACCCCCATTGCCAGCTGCCTTCTGGGGGCTCGCCTAACATTTGTTACTGAGCAGCAGCTAGCACTGGGCAGAAACAAGCTCCTGGATAGACTGACATTAAGCAAGGAACCTAACGGAGGAAGTGATCACCTGCCCATCCTTTTCCTCTGGGAGCCGATAAATGGGGACCATCACACGCAGTTTGTGGGGATCCGTAGGTCAGTGAGAATGGGGAGCTGGCAGCGGGTGCCGGGAGGCTTCGGAGGAGATGAGCGAGACCAGTGGTGGTCAGGGTCCCTTCCCATCTCTCCCCCGACGTCACCTGCTCTTTTTCTTGGGGTGGGGGAGCGGGCAGTTACGTTACGTGGTACCCAGAGTGATCCCGAGTGACAAGAAGCCCCACCCCCCACCCCCGCTAACCGAGTGACTAAGAGCGTGGGTTTTGGAATGTAACCTCCAGATTTGCATCCAGCTCCCCACGTGCTCACTCTAAGAGCTATTTAACCTTTCTGTGCCTCTAGCTTCTTATCTGCAAAATGGGGATAATGATGGAAAGAGCATTTAGGAAGACAGGCTGAGATTCTCTCGATAAACCATGCCAAGGGCTCCTATTCTTAGTCAAGACACAGGCTGGCCAGGGAAGGTTCCAGCTCGGTTTATTCCATCAAAACCGCAGCAGGGAAAGCAAGGCGTCCGGGTCCCTGCGGGGCCCCAGCCTCAGGGCTCGGTCCTGGTGCGTTTCCCGCTTAGTCCCGGGGTACAGCGAGCGGAAGGGCTCCGCGGGG